ACACTAACCTCACTCATTTGTAACAACTAAGGCAAAAATGTAATTAATTCAGAAAATCTTTTYAGGACCCCACCTTGATGTTTCGGGACCCCACTTTGGGTCCCGACCCCAACTTTGGGAAACACTGCTCTAGAATGTTCCATAGTTTTATTGTATTTTCTGTACACTGTTTCTCAGTGTTTGTTTCTCTTACTTGCAGGGGTAAGCATCTTTGAAGCCACCCATGGCCGACCACATCCTGCATGTTTTACCTGACCAGGTCACAGAAATGGTGCCGCGGTAGCCTTCACCTCGGCCGGTCGTGCAGTGGTCATCATATCTGACGGTGGGAGAGTTTGATTCTGGAAACAGAAGACAGTTAGAAATACTCGCAAGTTTGAAAAGAAACGCGCAGGCTTTGTTTATTTATGCTTTTAAAAAAAAAGAAAAAGAAAAAAATTGTATAGGTCTTCTGGACGGGTTCTTCTCTAAAGAAACGTTTCGTCTCTCCTCCAATTCTTCAGTCTGAGAGTTTCAGGCAAAATTCAGGCTTTTAAGCCCTAAAATTCAGGCTTTTAAGCCCTGCAGGGCTTAAAAGCCTGAATTTTGCCTGAAACTCTCAGACTGAAGAAGTCTCTTGAAGAGACGAAACGTTTCATTAGAGAAGAACCCGTCCAGAAGACCTATACAATTGTTTTCTTTTTGATTTTTTACCTGGATTACTGAGATGCATCAGGACATTAATCTACAGTAGATTTAACCAGTTTGATAAATGGGGCAAAAACAGAAATTACTCAAAACTTGCAAAGAGTATTTAGTGGCTTAAAAGCAAAAAAAAAAAAATTCTATGTTTATTCATACTTGTGGAAATGCATATAAAAGGTAAAATTTTAGAATAAAACAAAAAAATAAAAGATGTAAAGTTTTACTGCAGGAGGGTATGAGGCAATAATCCAACACTTCAGACGAGTTGGTCGTGTAACACCATGGTAGGCGTCTTCCGTCTGGGTTTCTACAATAGTTCTCCTCAAGATGATGATGTGGATAGCTGCAGAGGGCGTCGACACAAGATATTACAATTCAGTTTATTTTTAAGAAACTTACATTTTCGAACAGGTTATTATTAACGTATTTGTTTTTATTGTTTCAGTCTTACGCAGAAGGAGTGTAATTATGACTGTGAGGTTCCTGGGAATCCCAGCGCTGACAGGTGTAACCATTTCTAGTAGTGTTGCGACGTCCTCTGTAGACATCATCGCAGGGCAAACAGTCCTCTGCAGAAATTTAGAACAAATCAGCTTTTGTTAAATTCTGACTGGATTGTTATTCTGAGCTAGCATCATGAAAAAAAGGAGGACTTTGGCTTTGCTCAGTTTCAATCGTCTCTGTTGTCTGATGATTAATATCCTTTAAAGGGATCCCTGATTAGTTGTAACATTAGACTTTATTTGATAAACGTATATTTTAACTGTAAAATGAAATCTGTAAAAATACTGTAGGATGTTTAGTTTTTATCATTTTTCAACTTAAAGTTTAAAAACATATTTTAACACGGACGGAGCTATTTTATTTACACGCAAAGCATTCTGGGTAAATGATGACGTGGATAGGTCCTCGGTGCGAGGCTGCTAGCGAGCTATATCCACCCTGAAGGTTAATCT